AAGCATACTGTGGCTTTTATAATGTGAAATATGATGCTTCTATACCCAAACACTTCACATGCTTTTCCTTTATATTTAGCCTGTATTTGATAAACAATTTAACCTGCAATTTGTTCTGTAACGTTTCATGAATGATGACATGTTGATGGATCATTAACTCTGCAATCTATTCAGTTGTGAACTACTTTTAAATCTACTACAATTACACAATTTATTTGTGTGAAAGAATGTACATGTCTGACTTGCTTTATACTTTACTCTGTGTCAGAACACCATCTATCTGTAGCAGTCAACTATGTGGGCGTGCTATAGCAGCTTTACACCTGGACCGCAATTACAGAAGTGATTAGTGAACTGAAGCACCAAAACTTTACCTGAAAGCAAAGGCAAGCAAACAGGAAGTAAAAGTAAGCCTACGGCATCACCCTCACTATCCACCAAGCGTATTAAAGATGAGGTTCCCCTGCTGTCATTTCATAATTAACACACACGTACAAACACCTATACATGTGTTTTTGTGGTTTCATCTTGTCAAAGAAATGTTTAGCCGATGGCAACAAAGAAAAAATAATAAACTAGTAAAACTATGAAGTTCTATTTATGTGTGTGTTTTGCTTAGCATTATCATTATTTTTCACATTACGACAGAAATTCAAAGTGCATTTTCAACAGAGTAAAAATACATTAGAACAATTATCATTACCACTCCAAATAGCCTCATCATATTTGCCAATAACTAATTAGTGGAATTTTAACTGCTCCCATGTGAGTTTGTGTTTCTGTAAACAATCAGTTGGAATATTCAAACCACCTCAGGGGATTTTTTATATCTAATTTGAAGCTTTTTATTCCCTCTCTTGGCCACCAAATTTTCTTAACTGAATGTGAAGTTCCTCTGCTTTGTAGCCAAGTGTTTGCTTTAAACAGTAACAATGCTGGCACGTTATTCAGACAGACAGAGCTATATCAAACAAAATAACCAAATAACAGCATTGCTATATAGTGCCAAAGTTAATGTAGTCATAAAATAAGAGAGAAGAGAAGACATTCTCTAAGAAAGGCATCCTTTGGCTCAGACATTCTCTGGAAATAAAAAACCCAATGTAGATCAGTGTCTAGTCTACAGTAGTATGAATGACTCACAGCATCAGTATGTTATCTTTTTTACCAAAATTAAGTGTCATGCACTAAGAGTTTGTTACAAATTAATCACAATTTTTATAAAACATATAAGTCTTTCAGTTCTAAGCTTTTAAGCTACTTAATATTTAATCCGTTAACTATCAGACGTCATGTATTGTTCTGTGAAGACGGACAACTTGCTGTGTGTTTTGACAAGATGACAACGTGGTTTCAGCTCAGATCATGGTCATAATAGTTAATTCTGCATATATATATGATTAAATTCACAACTTCCTTTCAAAATTAATTCAATTATTCATAAGAAAACCAAAATCTATCCAAACATATTTCAGTTAAAAACTCTTAACTAAGCTAGAGAACCTCAAACATACTTATAGCGGCATCATATACACTGATAAAAGTAAACATGGGTCAAGTCTGAATTGTTTTCAAACTCTCCAGCCTTGCTTATTAAAGTGGACCCATCTAATCTGCTGAGCTCCTTACGGTATCTTGACCATATGCATAAGAAATGGTGTCGCTTTGTCCAGTTCTATCTCAAGGTGGGATTCATCCTGTGTTTAATCAAACTTCAATGTCTACTGTAACTCTTTGCTATCAGGACTAGGGTGGCCATTTCTATAGCACCAAAAAGGAGGACATTGTGCGGCATATCAATAAATTACTAAGGTGTACATAAGAATCGGTTAAAGTCACATATATAGTACAATTCTTACTAGTTTAAAGAGGATGCTTGTGTAGCTGAATAGAACAAAATATTAAAGAAATGTAAAAAAGAATTGGTTCCCAGCATTTGTATTTATCTAATACATTGTGGTGTTTAAAAAGTGACAATTTTTTGACACGATTAATTTGCGCAGAACTGCTGCAATTGATCATAAAGCAGTTCGCCTCGAAGCTCGAGGCGGAGAAAGAGCTATAGATTAGGACAATGCAAATCTCAAAAAGTGGCTGGAAAAGAGGAATTCCTGACATGGCTGGATATGGCTAGATATATATAGATATATCTATATAGATATATACATGCATACATACAAACTTGAGTCATGGAACTGTGCTTACAGCTCCTTATTTCATGTAAACTAATAACATGTTTACATGATACTTGTTGATGGCATTAAAATTATCTCTAATAGCATTAAAAGAGCATTAAATTAGAGTTCCTCATTCCTGTATAAACCCTGTAAATGTTTAATTTAATATGACATATTTAAAAAAAATCCCCATCATCATCCAGCAGATGTTCAGTTTCTGCCCAAATATTTTCTTTTTGTTGTGAATTTTTGTAACAGGGATAACAAGGATCAAACATAATTTGTATGAACTATGTTTATTCTCTGCTTCCAAACTCATCATTTCTTCATCCATTCCTGCTATAAGAATTTTCTTTTAAAGTTTTGAGATGCCCTCTAGAATCTCACAACTTCTTCCTGGTCTGTTGAAGCACCAATAGTCTGCGTCCAATTATTTAATTAATTGCTCTTAGTTTTTGGGAATATATACGAAACTATGCTCTAATTTCTAGTTACCGATCTGTTTTACTATAATTTAATTTGACAAACCAGGTCTTCTCTACATTCTTTTTCCTGTTTGGTGCGATTGCAATTGCGGGTCTTGATCTGGACTAACCGGAGCGGAGCAAAAAAATAGCTCAGTTCTGTATTTTGACGGTGAAGGACGGAGAAGACGTACGTGGACAGAGACGTGCAGAGGATGTGGAACAGCTCTCATTGATTTACATGACAGACAAGTACTCCGCACGACGTACGTGAACGGAGTGGAGTGCTGATGGAGTATGTGGAATCTGGGGGTAAAGGAGGACAAATAAACGTCCGGCTATATGCGGCGCCGGACAGTGCAATGAAAATCCAGACTATCCGTCCTAAAGCTGTACATCTGGCCACCCTAATCAGGAAATTCACAAATACACTTAAAAGTAAAATTCTCGTCTCAGTTGATCAAAAATGTTGCAGTAATACTTTCAAATGAAATTTAAGAATATACCTCATATTTCTTCTACTTTTCCTTCCATTTACTTGCATCATGCCCAATTTAAAATGTCAATCTTTAAAATTCCCCCTTTCACATATGAAGCCCTATGATTTTACACGTAATTTTCTTTGTCTGTTCATGTTCCTACCGTACATGTGCTGTTGTTAATTGGACCATTTCCCCTGCATCCTAATGGAGCCTAATTTATTCTGCATTGGATCCTGCCTTTATGTTCAGCGGTCTAGCTGACAAGGATTGCCAGATTATTGAAAGCCTTTGTGATTAAATATTTAGTGTTATTACCCTGCCTGCCTGATCTTGATAATGTTTCTGCCTTCTGCTGTTGCTTCCACCTTCTAAACTTTGGACATCCGTCATTCTCCTGTGTCCTGATTTCATGCCTTTCCCTTGATTTGTCAGCCCTTATCTGCCTCCCTGTGTCTGAGTTTTTTCTTTTTTTTATGTGGCCTGACAAATGGCTTTATTTTATTTAACTTATTCCAATCTTTAAGTTCCTGCCCAGCCAGCGCAACTCTCTCCCTCCAGAGGTTCCTGATTCTGCTCCAGGTGGTTCTTTGAACTCCTGATCTCATTTTTCAGCAACTTATTTATTTCAGACAATTGTGTTTGGCTGAATACCTGGTCTTCAGAACTGCCTATTACACTTGCATTAGCTGCTTTATTTTTCCTTACCCTGTTTTTTTCTCAGGGTTAACATCAAGAGAGTACAGGTGGATAGAGTTTATAGCCCAGGAGGAGTATTTATTCTTTGGCTCTATCCCTTTTGTCCACTCAGCATCTTTTTCTCACTTTCTTTCTCTATCTTTAATGTTCTTGTTTTATTTTTGTTTTTCTTCTTATGTTAGTAACTACATACTGCTTGGCATTTTTGTGCTGCTGAGAAGCAATCCTAAAGGACAATGTTGGCTGGGCTGCTGCTGATGGGAACCTCATGTTCTCCTATAGATGATAAACCCGATTCCATCCTACAATGGTAGCAGTTGTGTTTTTCTATATATTAAGCCAGTTCAGCAGCTAGTAGTGCAGTCAACCTTTTAGTTTTGTTTCATATAAAAAGTAATCTTTGTTCAATGCTTCTCTATTTCTTCAGTCCCACTGAGCCTGGTTCTGCTGTAGATTTCTTCTGTTAACATTGAGCTTTCCTCTCTACTGTTGTTTAGAGGAGGGACTTCTGCAAAGCAATAACTTACTACAACCTGTTGGGTTTGTGAAATATATAAATATCTTGAAAATCTGTCTGCATGATGTTACTGAACTGACTATGTAAAACACTTTGGGATGATGTCAGGGCTTGATCTTGACCATTGCCCAATCGCCCGGGGCAAGTAGTTTTTATTGTCGGGAGAGTACAAATTTCATTGCATTTGCCGGCGCCATTTTTGTTGTTTTGTACACATTCTCGCGTGATTTGAAAAAGTCGCTTGATTTTAAAAAGCCGCAAGGTTTTTGTCCGGGAATTGGCGCGAATCAGACACATTTTTTTTTGACTTGGCAGGCTAAAAAACAAGGCAAAAAAATTTAAGTAGAGTAACACACCCACCACCTATTTTACCCTCCACCCATTTCACCCACCACCCAGATAACCCTAGATTAAAAATGATCGGTCAGGGATTAGGAAAATTGGCATAATTGTATGCCATGCGCACAGTGTAAATATGGCTAACCTTTTTTCAGTCTTCTGTACAGTGATGCAGGTGTAACCAGGTTAATTTAACTCTCACACCCTACAAATGGAGCTGCAGCAACCTGCACAGCTCCTTTAACTCAACTTATTTATGATGTAGAGCTTAGCCACAAGGGGGCAGCAGATGATAAGTCACCCTACTCCAAAGGCGAATAAGTCCCTGCTCTCTGTAACAGACTGCAGTTTTTTTCTAGAAAAAAGCATCTGGATCATCGCCGTCTGCCGTTGGCGTGGGAGGCAGAAGTAGAGAGCTTACAGTTATAGGCAGAATTGTTGTTGTGTTACCGAATTAATCGGAGAAGATTTTCATTTCTATGATCGAGCTTGGATTTATTTGAGTTTTGTGTGACCAATATCCCGGTGAGTTTCCAAGTTGCTTACACTGTGTTAGCATGCTAATTGAGTTAGCAAAGTGTGGAATGCTACTAAAGGAGTTCTTTATTTTATTAAAAAAAAACAGTCGGGATAGATTTAAAGGGATTTAAATGAACAAAGTAAAAATATGTGATGGTTTAGGTGCATTTTATTTAACTTGTGCTGTAAATATTGAATTTTTGGATTGTTGGTTCAACCACTTTATTGTTATACTGAGGGGAAATGTTTTTGATATGTGGTTATCGGTCTCCGCCAGTCACGTGACATTTGTTGCTAAGTCGCCATTTTTGGTGGAAAAGGCGTAGTGTAAACAACCGCAACATAGCTAAACGAAGGACTAAAGGATTGAGTTTGTTTCTCTGACTATATGGAAAAAAGTAAACAGAATGCGAAATTACCGTACCGGTGTCGTGCCAAGGTAGTTATCCCTGCGAAAATTTGTATCCCCTCGTCGGGAGCGCGCACGGAGTAGGAAGAACAACCCGAGTTAACTCCGCTTCAATTCCAACGTGCAGAACTTGAAATTTTGAAAGGTTTTACGTGTATGAAAGTTGAGCTTTACTGTTTTATTCTTTACTTCACGTGTTGTAGCAGAATATCGCCAGTGATATTGATTTAAAACTGATTATAAAACACAAACGTTTGCTTGAAAGCTGGTCGCTGACAGCAGTGTCTACTCCTCCCTCTGAAAGCAAACAGATCCTTGTTCTTTTCCACACGTTCCTTTAAAATCTCTCATTGTTTCACAGTGTCCAAATGTTCTCATCCCATTGAAAACGGTTGTAAACCATATACTTGTAATAAAAATGAAATAGAAAATGGAGTGCACGTGTAATCATTAAAGACTATATGCAGAAGGAAAATATTTTTTCCTGGTTGAAATTTAGTACCTAAATCTATATTTGTGTTTATAGTAACGTACAATTTATCTATGTTGTACTATCCTTAATAAACAGTTTGTGTTCTAACATCAGCCGTTTTATTTCACCCCATTTTGCCATAATTGGCAATATGGGATAAAATAAAACCTGCTGTAATCTGTTCCCCCTGTCTAAATCAGACAAAAAAGGCCCCAGCTTTTTCATTTTTGGCTTATAAGCATCTTTTATGATGACAATTTATTCCTGAAACTTTTGATGTGATTGACCTTTATTTCTTAAAGTTATAAGGGGGGAACAAATTATAGCAGGCCACCTGCTGTAATCTGTTCTCCCCTGTCTAAATCAGGCCAAAAAGGTCCCAGCTTTTTCATTTTTTGCATCATAAAAGATGCTTATAAGCCAAAAATGAATCAACTCCAAAGTTTCAGGAGTTAGTTGTCATCATAAAAGATGCTTATAAGCCAAAAATGAAAAAAGCTGGGACCTTTTTTGCCTGATTTAGACAGGGGGAACAGATTATAGCAGGTGGCCTGCTATAATTTGTTCCCCCCTTATAACTTTAAGAAATAAAGGTCAATCAACTCCAAAGTTTCAGGAGTTAGTTGTCATCATAAAAGATGTTTAAAAGCCAAAAATGAAAAAGATGGGGCCTTTTTTTTTGCCTGATTTAGACTGGGGTAACAGATTACAGCAGGTTTTATTTCATCCCATATTGCCAGTTCTGGCAATATGGGATGAAATAAAATGGCTGATGTTAGAAGACAAACTGTTTATTAAGGATAGTACAACATAGATAAATTGTACGTTACTATAAACACAGATATAGATTTAAGTACTAAATTTCAACCAGGAAAAAATATTTTCCTTCTGCATATAGTCTTTAATGATTACACGTGCACTCCATTTTCTATTTCATTTTTATTACAAGTATATGGTTTACAACAGTTTTCAATGGGATGAGAACATTTGGACACTGTGAAACAATGAGAGGTTTTTTTTAATGAACGTGTGGAAAAGAACAAGGATCTGTTTGCTTTCAGAGGGAGGAGTAGACACTGCTGTCAGCGACCAGCTTTCAAGCAAACGTTTGTGTTTATTATTAGTTTTAGATCAATATCACTGGCGATATTCTGCTATAACATGTGAAGTAAAGAATAAAACAGTAAAGCTCAACTTTCATACACATAAAACCTTTCAAATTTCAAGTTCTGGACGTTGGAATTGAAGCGGAGTTAACTCGGGCTGTTCTTCCTACTCCGTGCGCGCTCCCGACGAGGGGATACAAATTTTCGCAGGGATAACTACCTTGGCACGACACCGGGACTGGCAGCCTCTCACACAACACGATCGTGTCATTTCTGGTAAATAATTGTGCCGAAAGAACAGCCGCGTGTGGGTTATCTCGACTTTCCACCTATTATGGTGGTTTTCCCACGATGCACCACGCCCGAGGTAAACATTGACATCACCTGGCGCAGACCGATTGCTTGAGTAAGTGAGGTTCCTACGAGTTAGATGCAGTAAAAGGGTATTTGTGAAACTAGTCATTAACAATGATGTAATAAATGCAAATTTGTGTAGTTAGAGAGTAATTTTCCTGCACAGCTGTGCAGGCTGTTTTTTATCCTTTTGGAGATTTCAGCAGAGGTGAGTCCGCACCTTGCTGCTGCCACTTGTTCCATTGGTTCCCACTGTGGCTGGATCTTCTACTGGGCTGCACCGCCTCCCTTCGTATTGCCTGTTCTGGACCTTTTTCCATTCATGGACACTTATTGAGAGGTAGGACTGGGTGCACTCAGTATTTTTATTTTATTTTTCGACCTTAAACTTTTTGTGCCTGAGATCTCAGAGTGTTTTTTTTTTTTCAAGTCCTTCAGTGGTTCTAATTGTTGTATATAAGAAGGAAGGACTTGATGGACTTTTATTTTTCTGATGTTGAGTCAACTGTTCACATGTGCCTAAGTTCAATACACCTTATTCATTTCCGCTAATCTGTTGTCCAGTGTGTTATTTGGGGTGGATATCTGAACCTTTGTGCAGGTGAAAAAACCAACAGCCTCCTCACTGAACCGAGACTGGATTCTCCTTCTGGGTTATAGGTACTAGATATTTGTATTACTAATACTAGTAATAAAGGAGGGGTTACACAGGTAATACATTAAAAAATGTTCATTACATTTTTTTCTCTCAGACATTGGAGAGGTGCATTTAAATGTTATAGAGCTAAACATGTTAAATTGGAAAATTAATCCAAGTCAGTTAAAAGTCAGGGAATTGTGAAATTATGTAATACTGTGGAAACCCTGTATAAAATAACTATGTATAATGATTCTCTAGAAAAGTCACATTATATTAATAGTATTATCTTCTATAAACATACCTTGATTCTAAAATAAAAGTTATTCATTTGTGACATTGACTTCTGTCTTGTGATTTAGCTTAAGTTTTTTTAGATTTTTAACATTACAATTTATATTTTTCCAAGCACTCAACAGTTTAAAGCAAAGTTTAGTTTGAAAAGAATGTGCAGGAAGGATTTAAAAGCATGTTAACACGGTAATGTAGGCTTGAGTTCATTATCCGACGCATGCATATACACACCAGGAACCTGTAAACTTAAAAAATACTAATATACAAAAAACATTTAAAAAACAAACATGTTTAATTGATATAAATATACAAAAATGAATGTTAGGAACTATATTTATCAAACATTATACTGGGCAAGTAAAAATTGTTTCTGGGCAAATGAAATCCTTCCCTTCAACCCCTGGATGTGTTTTAAATTGGTGGTGAGTAAACTATTTGAATTTGATATACTGTAGAGATAATGTGCTTTAACCCCAGCCAGATGAAATAGAGCTTTATTATCCACCTTATGATAAAAATCTGCAAAGGAAATTCCAAATTCCACACATAGCTTGGAACCGTAAGCTATATTCTGTAGTTGTCTGGTCTTTTTGAACCTTTTCTACCCATGTAACCTTATTCAGTTCAGTTGCTACCCTTTAAACTTTAACATTTGCTACTTTTAATGATTTATGTATCTATTTGACTAGATCTATCTTTTTAAGATTTTTTTTTCTTGTTTCCTGTGAATATTCATTCTGTTCCCCTGGGATATGCTCCATTTTACATCCCTGCTTCTTTGTCTCTCATGCTCTTGTTTCCATCTGTGCAACTAACCACAGTCATGTCAGGGGGCTTTAAATAGGACTTAATTTGTTTTGAGCAACCTGTGGTTGTTAACTCTGCCTGAAAGCTGAAGGCAACCTCAGGTGGGAACTACTCAAATTTCCCTTTTAGGACCAGTTGGCCAACATATTTTCTCTTTTTATTTCCCGATCTAATTGGTTGATCCAACAGATCTGTTCTTTCGTTCTGTCCGCAAACATTTGTTGCTTTAGCAGTTATTTAACAGTTTCAGTGTTTTGCTTGAAGTCTGGAGGAACCCTCAAAGTAAAGTCAGAACCCCGCTGAAAAAGCATGCTTTGTGTTTCGTTCCATCTGGACTCAGAGGATGGCAGCAAACAAGCTCAGTTGGAGCACGAGTCAGCAAAGTGTCTTCATCAGTTCAATGGGAATAATGAGAGGCAACTTTGAAGTGTAGGAAACAGAATACAGAGGAGAGGTCCTCCGTATTCAGAGCTCAGCTCTAAGTGGGTCAAACATTTTGTCTTTGGGAACAAACGCTGTTGCTTCAATTTTTGGTTCACTCATCCTCACAAAGAAAAAGAAAAAAAATGTCTCCCCCCTCCCTCTGTATATTTGGACTTTTATATGACTGTGTTACTTTCTGTTCTTTATAGCCTCAAATACATGATTTCTGTTTGCACAACCTATTGGTAGAACTGTTCCACCCTCACAGAATATTTCTGACAAATAAATAAAAATGTATCAAGTTCATAAGAACAGATATTAATGATATCAGTTGAGTCTGAATTAGCATAACAAGGAACAAATAAATTAAATACCTTTCCAGCTCAAGGCCAAAACACCCTGAATCTGATTTTGCATTTGATTGGACAAATATTTGCATCATTATCCATAGCAATTAAAAGTAAAAAAAGCAAATTGAGTCAAAATAAGCCTGGAGAGCCAATCAGAGTCTATGTTTTAAAGAAATGTGCCTGTCAAGGAGTGATTTCTAATGTGGGCTAGCGATCAAAGGGGTCAGTGAGCTGTTCCCACTGCCACTAAAAGCCGATTGTTAGGACAAGGCCTGTATGTAAACAGGCCTGAAATAAGTTTTTTTAAGTCGCCTGTTGGTATGACTTTTGTGAGGAAAAAAGCAGCTGATACCTGCTGCATCTGAGCTTATCCAGGGTATGCTAACAAACACGCAAGCCGTCTGTGGAAGAAAAAGGAAGTAAATTCCTGTAGAACCAGGCTCAGTGTGAGAGGCCATCTGCTGAGGCCAACTGGGGTTCAAGGAGACAGAAGGCAACCAACTGTCAGCCAGCTCCACAGGAAACACACAGCCAGACAGACGAGTTCCGAGCCAGCTCCCATGTCAGAGGATGAAAGAGAGCACATCCAGCCAGTCAGTCAGAGAAACAGGACTACACTGAAAAACAGGCCGATCTCCAACATCTATAAACAAAGGTGTTGATGGCAGCAGCATTGCTGATATTTCTCTACAGGATGGAGTCACAACCAAACAGGAACCACACAGATGAAGCTACTATGATGAGAAAAAGCAGAGAGAGCATAACATTGGAGATTGAACTAAAAGATACTGCAGAGTGGGAAATTAGAGATAGAATGAAGTAGAATGATGAAAAAGGTGTCCCCATATTTCCTCGAGCAGTCTAGGCATATAGCAGCATAACTATAGGGATAGCTCAGGATAACCTGAGCCACTTTAACTATAAGCTTTATCAAAAAGAAAAGTTTTAAGCCTAGCCTTAAAAGTAGACAGGGTGTCTGCATCACGGACCAAAACTGATAGATGGCTCCACAGGAGAGGAACCTGATAACTAAAAGATCTGCCTCCCATTCTACTTTTAGAAATGCTAGGAACCAATAGTAAACATGCAGATTGAGAGTGAGGTGCTATATTAGCAACGTAATGAATAATCATATCTCTCATATAAGATGAAGCTTGGCCATTTTAGGCTTTATATGTGAGAAACCACAGAGGCCGAGAACATGATCCATTCAGACTCTATGGCTACATTCACACTGGAGCCTGGAGTGACCCAAATCAGATTTTTTTTTTTGCCCATATGCGACCTGTATCTGATCTTTTCGTGGCAGTCTGAACAGCACAGCTCCAATTTTTTCCAATGCGACCCAGGCCACTTGGCTCTGTGGTCCTGAATCCGATCTGAATCAGCTCTTTTCAAATGTGACCTTTGTGTAAATGTTTAGGTCGCAATCATCTGACCTGAACGCTATCAATGCTCGACAAAGGTCACTATTCTGCATTTTGCTATGCACAAGCGGGAAGAAAAACAACAACCATGGTGGACCATAATGCGGAGAGCAGTCTTTTTTTAACCATCTTGAAAAGATTGAGTTTTTTAGGGTTAGGAAAAAACGCTATATGCGCTGCAACACTACCATCCATGTTTACTTACGTAAACACAGAGGACGCTGGCTTGCGATGTCATTGCATTTCCAACTGTGCATGCGGGACATCACATACAAGTCACATATTTTTGGAAATGTAAACGGCAACCAAAGAATTTGGATTTCACAAAAAAATAGCAATAGGGCATGCAGTGTGAACGTAGCCTTAGTCACCAGCTTCTCCCGGAACCTGAGAGAAGCTCTCCAGGAGGTGTGAGTTGAACACGACTTTGACTGAGGGCTCTACCAGAGTTTCCCAGCACACCCTCACTATACACTTTGGCTTGCCATGTCTGTTCATTTTATTTTCCTCTTTCCTATTCAACTCACCATCAGGTGATGATCAGTGGAAAGCTCTGCCCCTTCCATTACCCAAGACATGCAGCCAAAGTTTAGAAGATGAAATGGTGGTCATACTTTAAACAGCATTAAGATGCCCCATAAGCACATTCTCAGGCAGACGCAGACCAGTTAGCCAACCAGAACAAACAAGGGATGGCTATTTGCTTGGAATGGTCCTAGTAGGATGGACCTCCATGCTGCTTAAATACATTAGCACTCCAACTACTGATTATTCTGGTGCAAGCCGACCGAAATGACAAAGACTCCTGGATAGGTGTTGAAATGTCTTCAAATAACTGAGTGAAAGCCAGGTTGCATTCTGATTTAAGCCTGCTTTGTAATTGAGCACTGTTAAAGTGAGAAGGATTTGTCCCCTTGTAAGGAAGGCTGTAGCGCCCCAGGGGCCTTCTCACCGGTTCTTTTCCTGGGAGCAAGTTATTTACTACTCTTAACTCAAACTGGGTAAAACCATATAAAAAAGGACTATAAAAACAGGAGTAAAAAAGTAACAGAGTTTATTCCAGATCAGGTCGTTACAGGACAGAGAAAAATGCTTCGAGCTATGCACAGCTGTGGTCTCAAAAATCACGTCCGCAAGCGTCCGGCAAAGTTTGAGCCCCGAACAACGTCATCACCTGCTTCTTATACCTTCTGAGTCTGTGTTGCATCATGTGGATGCTTAGTTGTCCGTATCAGAAACTGACACGCCATCCATGTCTTGACCCTTGCAGGTTGCCTCTCTGTCTCAGGGTTACAGATACAGCAGCTCTCCTATCAGACCGGCTCCAAGATGTGCCCATATCCTGTGTACTCTTAGAGACACGAAGGCTGTCTTGATTAGATGACCTCCGTACACACCGTGA